TCGGCATTCATATACACATAAGCAATAGAGAATGTTATATTAGTAGATTTCACCCCCATAATTTGCAATAGTGGGAAACGATACCTATTAGTCTTATAGGTGCAATCTATGATAAGTACATGTGAAAATGCAAGCATTATCTCAATATTAATGGGGTGTGTCCAAAACAAGTCAGTTACAATATCACCAGATGTCATATGCCACTCAATATAATTGTGTTCGGATAACTTAGTAAGCAATTGCTGCATTTGTGTTCTCCCAGCAAATTCTTTAGTTCTATTTCAGATCCTAGCATTGTATATTGTCTTCATAGTTGAAACATTCATTGCATCTCTATACTTCAAGGTGACCAAAATATCTCTCGGTTTCACCAAACTCTTAGACATGTCCACCAACAAAGCATTCTCCTCTTCAGAAAGTTGCCCCACAAATGAATGACCTTGAAGATACTCTGAAATAGGATGGTTGTGTACTCCGCAAACCACCTCCAATTTCCGATCATCCCCATCACCAATATTGACACCTTCTAACAAGAATGGGCATCCACATTTCTTGGTACCAGTGTCCCTAGCACACTTTTTCGTATCACCATTTGCTTCCAACCTTACATCAGTTGTCTCACTAGACTTGCAAGACTTATAGTTACCACTCATCTCACAAGCAAGTATTACTTGATGTCTCATTTTGCCCTCACCTCCATAATCAGACATTCTAATTACAATTACAACATTATTCATTTTCTTTGTACACGAGCTCATCTAATTAATGTATCTCTACCAGCAAATATCTACACATTAAACTCATGTTATTTAAAGTTAAAATTTGAAACATTAATGCCGCGTTAATGATATTAAAAAGGATTTCAGACCAAAAACAACTCAAAATAATTACCAAATAAGTTGTGAATTGATCACTATAATCCATTGCACATTCTGTTCCCACATGGTTGCCTTCAGTAGGGGGTCACCTTGTTTTTGTTCCTTCAATGAGAGTAAGGTCAAAATTGCTTGCAATAAATTTGTGGTCAACAATAAGTTACTGAAAAAATAAATATATTTTGGTTCATTGCCACTGAATTGCAGGTAAAAGTTCGGTAATACACAAATGAACACGTTCCATATTACAGTGGATCTCCACCGCATATTAAGTTAACGGCGGGTCAAACACAACCGATATAGGTGCAACGTTTCGATGGCATCCCATGGAATATACCTATCGCATTCGATACTGATGTGTTGAACGCAACCAGTGACTATCATAAAATCCTAAACTTGAAAAAACACCAAAAAAATAAACTCATACCTCATTCGAAACCTCTCTAACTTCAATCTCACCCTTCATGAATAAATACAAGATATTTTTTCACCAATATAAACGTATAAACCTCGTTAAGGTTGTAGGAACATAATGGTTTGAGAAAAAAGTTTAACTAGAGTTGCAAGAACATATGTGGGGTGTAGTGAGCAATTTTAATTTTAATTTTAAATGTTTTTTGTCCTTAACGGTAATTATGTAGAATGGTAAAATACGTTATTTATGTTTAAAATTAGTACGGGATGCAAATAGCAAATAATGGGGTGCCAATAAAATCTCCCTTTGCTTTATTGTTGAGTTGGGAACAAGTGATGTGTTTCACTTTGATATAATTTCATAGTGGTTTTTATTTTAGGCTTATTTACTGTAGTGGCCCGAAATTATGGGCAAATTCTGTATTGGCTCCAGAAGTTTAAGTGGCCCACCTTCCCCTTAACCAGGGTTTGGTGAATCACTTTACCCTCTATCGTCATCTCCTTTCTTGACTCCGTCATTTTTGCTGAGGTGGCAAGGGAATTTTAGTCCTTTTAGCACACGTGGCTCCTCATCCCTTATCCATGCTTGTGACGTGGTAAAAGTGGGGCCCAGTCCGACGTGGCAATACTGGGACCTACCCCTAAAAAATTAAAAAACTTGTTCACGCCCCATCAGAGCTTACGACGTGGCATAAGTGGAGCCCACTCCTAATTCGAATCCATCTCATTTACTTGATCCGCATCCATCAACCCCTTTTGCCCATCCCTAGATCTGGAAAATAAGAGTGCGACCATTTAGGGTTTTCACATGCTAATCGACTGAGATAGGCAGACAAAGAGATAGTGAGATTCGAGTTTTAACAAGGCAGCAAAGAAATCAAAATCTTGGAACCAGGCGCGAATATTCGACTTCAATGACCGTGTCAAGAGAACCAGGCATTTCTCAACCCCAGTATGGTAAGGGGATTCAAAGACTATGACATATTTAGGGTGTTGTCCTGGGTATAAAGGTTCTTTATTGTAATGCTATGTTTTATGTTGTCAGTTTGCAAAGGGTTTATAAAGGTTCTTTATTGTGAAGGAGTGAATTTAAAATTGGTGTGGTCCCTTCTTGTTTTGTTGATAAGCGTTTAACTATTTTGAAAATTAGAGGATTCTAAGTTTTCGTAAGTGTCAAGTCACACATGTTTGTTGGACTGTTTTGTTGACTCATAGTGTCTTTATTCTACTATACTCCAATGGTTGATCGTGTCTTAATTTGTGTTGTGTAGATGACAAAGGCCTCGTCACATTTGAAATACATCATGGGAGTACAATTGTCAAGTCTCAACACAACAAGGGGTCTTCTGTGGGTAGAACTGTTTCATATTATCATATTGCAAAGGAGCTTGGGTACTTTGAGATGGTCTGTGTGAAAGGGCTAAAAAATGATGAATGGCTAGGTATAGATACAGATGCTAAGCTACTTGGGTGGTGTGATTTGATACCACTTTCCTATCAAAGAGTGGTGGTAATTGTTTGTACGACTAATCTCGAGAGAGAATATTCGCTTTGTGATTATTCGTCCTTTGATCTTCTTTCTCTTTCTTCCTCAATTCCTATAAATAAAAAAATCGAAGTAAATGGACCACACTTGAGGGGTATTGGCCAAAGGCCCTTCGATGCCTAAGTTAGTTCGATTAAATCTAGGTGAAACAATAGCTAAAAGGGGTACGGAGATTTCTCTAGGGTGAGAACGGGGTGGCCAGAGCCGTGTGTGGTGGCCAGAGCTGTGTATGTAATATATGGAGAGAGGTGAGATGTGTGGCCGGCAGTGGTGGTGGCATTGCCGGTGACTAGGAAGAGAGAGATGGAGAGTTTTCTCAGATTTTCCAAGTAGGTTAGATGTACCTTGAATGATAAATGAAGCCATCTATTTATAGAAGCCTCGGAGGCTAGGGTTTCGTAGGGAATAAAACTCTTATTGGGAATGAGTTTATTCTCTACCCAAATTTGTAGAGATTGAGTCCATTAGGGATTTGATTGGGATCCAAATCTCCAAATTTGATATTGACTATATCACCTTATTAAGATAATATCTGAATTAATTATAGTACCTTATTAAAAAAAAGATAATATCCTATAATTAAGATATTATCCCTATTAATTAATTTGCCAAATAAATTGGTTCGATTAATTAATTGAAGGGATCCACGTGGTGTGCTATGATTGGAGACGAAAATATTTGCTCTCACAATAATTTACTTGGAAGATAATGTATTGGGTACGAATGACAAGCCTTCAACTGTGAGAAATCTGTGTAAGGAATTTGAGAGAGCAGACAATGAGGATTGGGGGGGTATATATTGAGGAGTTTGAGGTGAAAAATAATGAAGATTTGCAGCATGAGGAGTTTAAGGGAGCAAACAATGAGGAGTTTGAGTTGGGGGGGGGGGAAAATGGAAATTCTGGGGATGGGGGGGTTGGGGGGGGAAA